AACAAGCTTTAATAAGCCTCATATCAACTCTGAAAAATAAGTGTTATTGCCTCTATTTTATGGTTGGGTAAACAGTACTGAGGGCAAGAGACTCTCACAGAAGTCACTATTGCCCATGGGAACTCCTGGACACTTTTCCAACTGAGCAGGCCACAGTTGTGAAGTGCAGGTACCTGAATTGAGCCGTAAATAGCAAGATTTAGTAACAAAAAGTGAGCTGAGGAGCATGGCCTGTAATGGGTGATGATGAAAGCAATCCACCAGCTGTGGCTGGGCAAGGTAGCAGCCTCAGTTAATTATTTTGCAGCTCCCCTGTTAGGACAACAAGTTCCTGAATCAGGGATCTAGCACTTTGAACCAGCCCTTGACAACTTGCCCAGGCTGCATTTAAAGGATTTCATGTGTCATTGCAGCTCCTCAGAATAATTCCCATTTCCTCAGAGCAAAGGCTTTGTGCTTAGCCTCTCTACAGCTTGTCTGTGCTCAAGGCATGTGTCACTACACACGTATGCAGGAAAATAAACCCTCATATCATCAGTTGTGTGCTAACACAGGGAAAACTTGTCTTTCCTTGTGGAAGTAGATAGAACTTAGGATGCATTTAACAAATAAAACAACAAATAGAGTAGATTTGCTGGGCTAAATAAAAGTAGACTGCTGTTTTTTTTTTGTTGTTTGTTTATTTTTTTGTGTTTTTTTTTTTTTTTTTTTTTGGATAAGTACACAGAAAGCACATATAACCAACCAAATTAAATATATGCTAACCTGCACTGCAGCAGGAAATGCAGAATAGATTATTGCAGGTAGCTAAATGGAAATTTTCCCCCACTGTAGCAGGGAAAGAAAGAAAAAAAGTAAATCACACAGAGTAGAAGGGGGAAAAAATAAGGAGGAAAAAAAAAAAACACCTGAAAGCAGTTCATCATGAAAAGTAATAAAGCCACCAGGAAATTAAAAGGCCCAGCCCTTCAAAGAGGGAGAATTTCAGTGTCTGAAGACTGCAGATGTCTTCTGACTGTAGGCAGTGACCTTCTGGAACTGCGTGCTGGTACTTGTCACAAGTGCCAGCACAGTTGTTACTGTGGTATGAGGGAAGCTCACAAAGTTGGTGCCATTCACTGTGATTGGCAGCTTACGTCCCTAGGGCTCAGAAGGTGCTTCTGCATGTACTGGCAAACTTGTTGTATGGTGTATGTAAATCTGCCTGTATGTATTGTAAATTCAAGGCTCCAGGTTTATAGACAAAACATTTAGCTTGACAGAGGAATCTGTTATTTCCTGAGAGGTAGTTTAGATATAAGAACACAACTGTTTTGTGTTTTTTTGTTTGTTTGTTTGTTTGTTTTTGACAACTATTTAACCTTCATGTCCGTTAGAATTTCAGGTGCTTACCATATCTAAGCAATGTTTGGCCCTAAATTAATTAGTTAATAGAATTTGCATTCAAGCCTGTTAATATTTGACCCACAGATTAAAGGGGCAATTGAGACGGTGTTCGGTACCTGATTACTATGGAAGGAGAAAGAGAAATTAAAATAGTGCTCTCAGTTCTTTTCTTTTTTAATTATTATTAGTAGTGAAGAAATATGATAAGGAAGAGTTTTCCTAATAGGAATGATTATAACCATTTTGCTACACTGTCTATCAGAGTAAAAGGAACTCTAGTTTGCCTCTAGGAGGACTAATAGGAGAATCAGACGGTGAGAGAAGCAAGACAGGCAATGTATTCAGGCTTTGGGAATTGGAATTGAAGAAATAGTAAATTAGGTGTAGTCACCTGCATTGTTAGTCTGCAGTTCTTCAAGTTTGATTTGAGAAATAACAGCACCTGTCAACTACTTAATTCTTGTTATGGGAAACAGTATTCAACAGCATTCTGCCTTCTATTTGCATTATTGTTACTGCGAGTAGCATTTCTGAATCCACTACTACCCACAGGACTGAAGAGACAGCGGGGTTTAACAAGATAATTGTATGCATACTTAAATTTAAGCAACTGAATCATCCTGACAAATCTAAGCAATTGAACAGTGCCTTAATCAGACTACTCAGGTACTTAATTTTAAGCACAGCATTAAGAACTGACTACATTAGGCTAGAATACATGAAAATCTAATTGCAATGTAGAAAAAAAAAAAGTTTCCACAGGCTGAAATCAGTTTTCCCTCCACTATACATCTCCCCCATGCCCAGCTGCATTTACATCGTGGTTTTCTTCAACCCTAGCAATGCCAGCATGTTTGCTGGCTGAAGTTGATGAACTTGCAGTGTCATTGCTTCCCAGTATTGGAGACCAGGAGTGAAGTAAAAGGCGTAAGTCTGAAACAGAGCTCTTGCTATGAGATACCAGCCAGCTATAATCCCATCTGTGTAGGTTTACAGCCAGGATCTGGGTCATGTGAAATTCTCCCTGCCTCCACCCAGAAGCACTCTAATGATTATTCATGATAAATTTTAAAAGGAGTGCTGCAGTGTATTGCTAAGTGAATGCATCTTCATTTTCGGACTCCCTCCCACTTGAGCATTTCCAGTAGCCATTATTGTAACAGTGCCGACAACTCCCTGATTAATCCCATCCTTGTGTTGCTGATCTTAACTCTTCACTATTTTATTTAGCAGTAGCTTCAGCCCCACTAGGGGCTAGGCTCTGTCAGAGAAGAGCAGGTGTCCCAGGCGTTTGTGGTCTTGCATCACAAACCAGGTTTTATCTGGAATGACCCCGGTGTGTTCTGCTTGGGCTGTTGCCATGTCTAGCTTCAGTCTGTCCCCGAGCTGCTGCTGTTACCATGTCATCAGCTATTATGTGAACGCCGGCAACGCCTTCAAGTCTTCCAGTGCTCGTTTGCAAAAAGACTTTGTCAGCTGATCTGATTGCCAAAAATAAGTAGATAGATGGAAAACATACATATTTGTTTCACCAGAGTACATGGTTCAGACAGTTGATGATCTGAGCTGATTTGTTAGTGTCTGTATAGATTTCTATGTATGTCTTTAGCAATTTGTGTGGAATGTCTGGCATGGGAACTGACGATAGCTGTCTTGGGCTAGCGTTGTCAAGGTCTCTGAAATCTGCATGCATCCCATTTCCCTGTGCCTCTCTGCAGCTTTTGCTAGGCTGTCAACCCACAGAGTGGGCTTGCTTGCTTCAGCCCCTCCTTTTACCAGCTCTGTATGTGCCTCTTCCTCCATCTGTCACTGCTAAGGACATATTTCTGCAGCCACATATGACAGTCGTGACTCAGCATTTGATGCATCTATTGGGCTTACTCCCTAAGTTTTCTACTTTCCCAGCATTTCTGGGGATTGTGTAATCAGCTCTTCCTTGGTCCTGTGTGTCTTCAACTACAGTAAGCTTATAATGCACGCTAGCTTTAACTCTATACATTTATCAATCTGTTTTGAAAATTTACCATTTCTAACGAGAGAGATAGAACTAAAGGGTGCCATTGGACTTGGTAATCATTTTAGTGGAGAATTTTACAAGTGGCTCTTCCATGATCCCCATTTATTACAAACACGATGGTCAGCTAGCTTTTAGATACCTTTAATATCTTTTTCAGCTGTAGGACAGTAGGAGAGCTGTAGCTGCAGTGCCAAACTTGAAATGCATACATGTATTGTCTTGTCCTTAACTGTTGGATTCATCTTCCAGTCGGCTGGCAGGTTCCTCACCCTGCTGCAGGGTTCAGAAATTAGATTGAACACACAGGAGCAGACCAAGAAGCCAGGCTAAGAGCTTGCATCGCATCAGGGGAGCATGTCTGTGCTTCAGGTGTTAACATGCAAAGAGAGGGTTAAGGCAATCCATGGTTGGCTAGCTGTCTATTTGCCCTCTTAAATGATAGATTGAAAACCATTTTACTATGTAATTATTCTTAATCTATGTTACTGTGTACAGAAGAATAGCATGAGCGCATCAAAATTCAGCGAAGAATGTGTAGATCTGTTATTGGCTGGATTACTTTTTTTTTCTTTTTTTTTTTTTTTTGTGTGTGGGACAACAGTTGTGTGATTTTCAGCATTTCTGCTGCTGCTTTATGTGTTGGACAGATTCTGGGCGTCTCTGTCCAAGTACCAAGTCTCTTTTTCAATTTATTTATGGGAGCTGTTGTTCTGTGCTTACTCAATTGAACTTGGGCAGTTAGTTTCTCCTTCCCTTACTTTGAGCCTGCTGTTGTGCAGCTGTCAGTATGGGGACTTTGGGTTGTTTTGACTTAGGGCCAGCTCTGCAACTGTACATTGCTTTTCGCACCTTAAGTCTGGCATTCAGCATCTTTTTTTTGTTTATCTAGTTATTATAGCTATTCAGCAATGAATTATTTTTAATTCTAAAACAGAAATTATTCTTTTTACATTGGATTTTTCATGTATTTGTGTAGTCTTTTTTTTTTTTTTTAGGTGCAGGTGTAACAAGAGCTTGTTCATAACCAGTGTTAAGTACCTTTATTACCCAAGGAAAAGAAATCTCTCTCTAGTGGTGTTTCTTCCGGTGTCAAGCTTCTTCTTGATAACTTGGTCAACAGATAACAGCCAAGTCAAAAGCTGCCAACGAGAGGAATATTTCTGGCAAATTTAGTTTTTTTATATTGTATGCATCCGGTAACGATGGGTACCTTAGTTCAACCAGTCACACAGCATGATGGTCCTAGCAGTTGCTCAACCAGAATGCCAAGTGAACACTGCAGTTTCTTCTTTCTCTGCCTTTGTGTTCATTGTGAGAATCAGCCCTAAATAAAATACAAAGTTAGAGGACATCTGGGGTCTTTCATGGGTAGATGAGATAGTTACACCTGCTGCTGCCCACAGATACTTGTCTTCCCACACCACAGGAACAGTTCTTTACCCCCAGTGCTCAGGAGCTGCATTGCAACTGCATGTGTGTAAAAATGCTGTATTTAAGTGTGAAGATACAGCACTCATTTCCTTGATTCTTAGACACTGTCTTTAGGACTAGTGTAAGCTGCCCTGTGCTAAAGTTATTGTTTTATCCTCTTTGTTAGAGAAGTCCTTTCTTCTGGCTGCTGGGATGTTGTCACAGGACTGCGTTTTGTTCTGCTAGCCTGCAGTAAGAAACTTTTTTTTTCATTTACTCTATTAGAAGTAACTTTAGTCACTGTCGTTCATCTAGTTTTCTGCTTTGTTGTCCGCATTCATTGTTTTCCACTGCTACTGATAAAGAAAACATCACTTTGTGACCTTAATGTTTGAAGGAGTAATCAAAAGGAATGGGATGCGATGAAATTTATGGCATCCCTTGAGTCAAAATACAATTTGTTGATTTCACAAAGGAAATCAAGGAGCAAGCAAGTGTATTATCCCCATGGTTTCTTTGGTGTAACTTGGTAATTTTAAATAGAAGGATGTGTGGAATGGTACGTGATTGACTAGCAGGCATGTGCCAGGACAAAGCCAATGGAGACAAGACATTTAACTTTGTGGAGGAACATTTTTTTTATTATTTTATCTTTTTCAGAAATTAGTTTTGGGCACAAAAGCCCATGAAGAAACTGACAAAAATCTTACTGCAGCAGACTCTTGAATGTCTTCCATGTCTTCATGCAGCCTGTGGAAGTCAGCAATAACAGCAGCTGCTGGACCAGCCAGCCTCTGCTTCTGTGCCTCCCCTTCATAAGGAGAAGATGAGGAAGAAAATGGGAGTTGCTTTATATTTCCTGTTCCTGTTTATTTCGGATCTGGGAAGAGCTGCTGCTTTGCTCTGGTAATTGGGTTACATATACTGAGAGGCCAATATATTTGCATAATTAATAGTCTGTTGTGACAAATGATGTTTTTGTGAGACCTGCATGGAGCATGCTGCGTTTTAATGTTGGAATAACCACAGTTTGGTTTGTTCATCTATAAATATGCATCCCTGCTCTCATGTAGAATATGCATAAATCACATTTCAAACATGAGATAATCATCAGCAGTCAGTAAAAAATAGATATTTCCATGGCAACAGTTGCTAAATTAAACAGAGAATCAGTACCTCCTCCCCTGTTCTTGTCCAGAAACCTCCCTTGCTTTAGATCCTACGTACCTTACTGATGATTAACAAAATAATCATACTTGTTAAAATGAATAAATTCACCATTGTATGTGAAGAGTTATTAGAGCAAGAATTAGCAATAATTAAGTACTGCTGACAGCACTGGGCATCAGCTTTTTACATCTGTACTTCCTTAACTCTCTGTAGGCCCTGTCAAACACTTAATATGGTCTTTCCGCACCCCTGCTGGAGTTGCTGTAAGTGTATTTTAAAAGCTTTGGAAAAATCTTCTGGTCTGGATCAAATTCTGACTGGCCTCTGCTTGAAGTGGGTTGAAAGGTGTCTAAATGATGGCACTTCCATGGCTTTGTGCTCTCTCCCTCTTCTTGATGGACATGCAGGAAATCGCCTGTTTTAAGGAATAAGCTGAAATGGTTCCGCAGACGTTTGGAGACCCTGGTATGGGGCAGGTAATGTAAGAGAGCTTGAGGATGGTTGGTTGAGGGATGCTGGCATTTGGGGCTGCCCCAAGGGCTTCTCATTGGATACCATAGCTGATGGAAAACCAAAAGGCAGGAAGGTAGACTTTCACGAGAGCAGACAGGTAGCTCACCTGTGGTGGACAGATACCGAGTATCAAAGATATTGTTCAGAAAGCATCAACAGAGGGGTTCCTGCTTGTGTGGCTCCAGATGGAAGGCATCTGCTGGGAGCTGTGGACTGGTCCTGATAAAAGCTGTGGGGCGGATGAGGGCACACTGTCCTGCTCCATGCTGCTGCCACACACTGTGGGGCTGCTTGGTGGGGAAACAGCCCATGAGGCTCTGAGATGCTGGGGACCCAAATCCCAAGGCCTCAGTCAGCTTGCTCACTTCTGCACCTCAAAGTTTCAAGGCACGTTTCTCTGCAGCTTTCCCCATGCCATCTTTGGGTCATCTGTTCCACCATTTTGCATGGAAGTTAAATGGGTTATGCAGTGTCTTGACTGCTTTGTTTCACCAGAGAAATTATGCCATTTTTCTTTGGATCTTTACACCAGGATCCTTACACATGCTTGCAAAGAGAACACCAGGGACCTCAAGCAAAATCATAGCCTATAGCTTTATTTATCTCCGTTCCAGCTTTTGTTTCAAGTTCTCATGGTTTGAATGAGACGAGCACTATGAAAGCAAGGAGTTGTCAAAAGATAGTCCAAGGGTTCACAGAGCTGAGCCAGAACCTGCTTGAGGGCATTGTGTGTGTTTTTCTCATTGCTGCCTTAGCGAACATGCCTGTTCTGGCACATGTGTACGTAGATCTACAAACTCACAGGGAAAGAAGTGTAAGATAATGCCACTTAGTTGTTCAGTTTCAGTGTCCCAGCTCCATGTGATTCAGATGTGTTCAGAAGCTGCCTCCTTAGGAGGCACTTGGGTGGTTTTTTACTGCTTTTATATGGACAGAACATGTCATTTGAGAGGAAGAGCAAATCTTACAAGTTGGTAGAAATAAGCACTGATTGTAGGTTCTTGTCAAAAATTTTCAGTGACTTGGAGTGGATGGTGAATGTTTTCCTCTTTCTGATGTGTCTTATTCCATGAATAATCTTCTCAATGTTGAAAAAGCACCAATAAGATAAGCCCCAGTGAAAGGGGGACAGCTTCTAGTCTGTGGATTGAGACATACATTTGCTGGTTCCTCCTAGAGTGGGGACATAGCAGTGCTTCAATAGCTTATGCTAGGGTTGCATGAAACACACAAAAAAGGAAATATTGGCATTTGGGGGATAAATGCATGTCATACTCCTAATAACTTTCTTTTTAGTGATGTGTATGAATGGGAAAGTGAAAATGTCAAAGGACAGGGATGCTTAGACTTGGATCATAAAGCGTTCTGCCAAACTTCTGCTTCCATGGGATACTGGACCGTTTAAGAAGTATCATGATAACTTTTCAAATGGAAGCTACTGAAGGAGGATTTAGTACACGTGTTTCATAACCAGGTAGCCTATCAGGATGAAATCCATGCTTTTTTTTGCCCTGCCATCTGAGAAATCCAATTCTCTTCCAGGTTTGTCACTCAGGTCCTCTGCATTGTGTCTGGATCTGAGAAGAGATGCCCTATTTACTCTCTTAATACCCTCAAAGCAGTTCGTATTTCAGAGCTGCTTCCTCACATCAAGAACTATGTCCTCTAAAGCAAGCAGTCCTTAGGAGGCAGTTAAAAACCCTCATTCAGCTTCTTTGGCTTGAGAGAGAGCAGACAGGGGGCTTGCTGTCTTTGACTGCAAGTGTAGTATGGGACAGCAGTGTTACTAGGAGGGTTTGTCTATTGTGAGCTTCCTTGGTAAAGATCCTTCAATAATTTTGCAGAAAGACATGGAAGATAGGCACTTTTTTGTTTATAAAAATGATAAAAATCTGAGATAAGCTCCTCAGCAGTTCTGTATGGCCACAATGCTCTTCGTGGTATGTGTGTTGCTTAATTAACGCTTGTTCTGTGCATTCGTTGTGTTCATGTTATTTTGCTTTGAAGTGGTTGTCAGCAGTAATTGCTCTCAGTAGGTTAAATAAGGAGCTTGTTTTAGGTTTCCGCACATGGTCAACAGCATCTCTCTGCCGTACAGCAGTAAGGAGTTACTGCTCTGTAGGATGCATTCCTGTTAGTACAAAGGAACTGCTTCTGCTGTAATGAAGCGGAGCCTCTGAAAAGGAAAAGGTGGTTTCTAACAACAGCAAATATTTTGCTTTTCACTCCACTGTCATTTCACTAGGGTGAAGTACTGTAAGCTTTGAACCAGATGGTTTCAAAGACAGGCTTGTACGGGCAGAGAATAATAAATGGACACTGCTAATATGATTTTATTTTTCAAGTATAAGCTGAGGGTACATGTCTTAAGTGTGTGTGTTTTAAGGAGTCATCATTTTCCTCCTTCTTACTACCTAAAATGTTTCCTATCTGCAGAGCTTTTCCAATCTCTCAAGCCTGTTAGGATTTCTCTTTTGTCTTGTAATGCCATAACTTTATGATCTTCCATCAGCATCCTGTTACGTTTCCTGTCTTCTCTAGGTTTTCATGTGACCCAGGTTGTCTGATGCCTCCCTCCCTTGGTCCTACACTGGAAGCTGGGGGCCTAAAGCTGAGTGCCAGAGGCAGGCTGCATCCAGTGCTGCAGCACTGGGGGACTGGCAGAAATCCCAAGCTCCATCTCCACATGCCTCCTCTCCTTGTCCACCCTTACAAAGGTAGAGATGAAGACGACAGACGTGGAGGCTTTCAGAAATCTTTGCTTCCCTTCAGAGGTGGTTGGATATGTAGAATCATGCTCCCTTGTGGAAGGGATCAGTGAGCACCAAGGAACTTGATTGGAAGGAAATTGCCCCTGTTTTGGTTTCTAAAACTCTGTGTTCCTGATCAAAATGGGGCCATTTGCCAGACTGTTGTCTTGATAGCTGCTGAAGCCAGCAGAATGTTAGTGGCTCTTATTTGATTTTATCACTGTTATTCTTTAAGCCCAGAAGTAATAAGAAATGTGCTCGCTGTTGGTCTTTATTAAGAATACGGAATGAAACATCTCAGCTGCTTTTAACTGTTTGCTACATCTCTAAACCAGCTCATTTCCCAGCTCCATCTAGCTCTGTATGTGATCAATTACAGTTAATCTGCTGTATTTGAAGGGAGCTTAATGAACTTTATCCTGGCAGGAAGGAAGTCTGTTAATTTGGATATTCTGAGTTCAGGGGGTTGTGTATTTGTGTCCTTCCACATTTACTCAAATCTGAGAGAGAATAACTGCTTTGCAGGGAGCACATGTTCTTTCTACATTCGGAGCCTGCCCGTGTTTTCTGGCAGCTGGCTGCTACACTGGATTAAATTTTAGTAGTCTGGTTTTCATTGTTAAGCTTGGAGAATGCAGGACACAGATGATAGCTTAATCTGTGTCATAATGAAATTAACGCTAATAGCCCAGTCTTGGGGTTCCTGAAAATACACATCTAGAGATTTTCAGGGCTAAACTGTACAGATGGAGCTTGGGGTGACTCAAAACTTTTTTTTTTTTTAAAAAAAACTAATATATGGAAGTTGGCTTTTGATGTGCTTGTTGTTGTTTTCCTGCCAAGTCTGTGTCTGAACTCAAGTGCGGAGTAGACTAACATGTTCAGCGGCATTAGGAGTGTCAGGTAGGGTTGTCGGGTAATATAAAACTCAAATTCTCTGTCTCCAAGGTAATTTAGCCATGGAGCACATCACTGAAAAGTCAATCACTTGCTTCCTACCATTCATGTGCTCCCAGAATACCTCAGAATGGGTTTTTGATCACCAGCCATCACACTGGTTGCATGTTTACAGGTCACGTAAATATCAAATGGTTGCATGAAGTGAATGAAAAATGCCTTCCTCAGCACTTCATTGAGAACAGGGATTCTTCTTTGGTGTCAATCATGTCACCTATTCAAAAATCTTACCTAACTCACCCCAGCTGAACATACAGAATGACCAGGTGAGAAGAAGGCATTGTAGGCAGCAGAGGAAAAAAAATACAAGTGTTGGGCATTGAAAGAGAACAGTGAACAAAATAGAAAAGGAGGAGAAGCCATAGGTAGAAGAAGCAGAATAAAGACAAAATGAAAACCAGAAGAGAAAGGAGAGAAAATGAGGCACAGAAGAAAAAGGTGCTTGAAGGAATGCATTGATAACATGGCAGCAAGCAAGTTTAGGAGTGGAACTAAAGGGGAGAGAAATTGATTTGG